TTATTTTAGAAAAGTTATTCTGGTAGCCGTGTGGAAATTAAAGTCAATAAAGATAGAGAACATTAGGAGACTATTACACATCTTAGATAACATTCATATAATCTTTAGGGCAATCTGGTCACTGACTAGTCAACCAGGCCAATCCTAGTGTCATCCTCTTCCTACATCAAAACTTCCACAAAGCCATGGCTGCTGGCAGTTCAAAAAGGAAATATCACTGTCACACAGTGAGACTTTGGCAAGAAGGTAAAACGTGCTCATGAGCTCTTAATCACAATTTTCACTGTATTTTATTAGAATTTAAGTTTTACTTACTATGTTCTCAATCTCTAAAATTTGAAATTCCCACAAGCCTTAGCATGTAAACTGTTACCCTCTTCACATCTTTGGAAGATCTCCTCCATTCTCAGGGACATAATTATAGCCTATATTTTGTTAACTTTAATTTAATCTAATCTCTAGCTTGAATTCCCCCACCTAATTTTCAAAAACTGCTCAACATATCAATGTATATGCCTAATAGGGACCCCCATGCAATCTATCAGCAAATTCTGAAAGCACTATAATTGCCATATACCTACACCTAACACTCTCTCTCTTTCACACACAAACACAAAAATCGTCAGGTTTAGTTTCTGACATTATTTCTTCTTACTTTTTCTCTACATTTGTTGCAGTGTGAGTTTCTGTTTTTATAATCAATCTTTCTTTTCTTTCCTTTTCTTTTGTCTTTTTTTTTTTTTTTTTTTTTTTTTTTGAGATGGAGTCTTGCTCTGTTGCCCAGGCTACAGTGCAGTGGTGCGATCTCGGCTCACTGTAACCTCTGGGCCCTGGGTTCAAATAATTCTCATAACCTAGCCTCCCAAGTAGCTGGGACTACAGGTGTGTACTACCATGCTTGGCTAATTTTTGTATTTTTGGTGGTGGCTGGGGTCCCCCTGTTGGCCAGACTAGTCACAAACTCTTGACCTCAAATGATCTGCCCACCACGGCTGCTGGGATTACAGGCATGAGCCACTGTACCTGGCCCTGTAATAATTCTTGAACTTACATGTTACAATTCCCATCATCAGGCAGAGTAACTTTCTCTCATTCTCAATGTCTCATTTCTGGGAAAGATACTTGCTATTGCTATTGACTGAATGTTTGCACCGCCATCCCCCTCCAGCCCCAGCATCAAATTTATGTTGAAACTATAATTATGAATGTGATGCAATTTGAAAATCAGAACTCTGGGGGGTAATTAAATCATGAGAGTGCAGCACTTATGATTGAATTAGTACCTTATAAGCAAAGAAACGAGAGAGGTTGCTTCTTCTCTCTCTGTGCTCTCTGCCATGTGAGTAGGTAGCAAGGACCCAGCCATCTGCAAACCAGGAAGGGCGCCCTCACTGGGCACCTGGCCTTGTTGGCAACCAAATCTTGGTCTTCCAACATCTAGAACTGTGACAAATACGTTTCTGTCTTTTAAGCCACCCAGTCTATGGTAACTTGTTATGGCAGCCTGAACTGACTAAGAGACTATCCAGTCTCATGGATCAAATGTTAACAAATAATTGCAATCCTGCTCTACTGGAGACTTCTTTGTTCTCAATTGTAGATTGAGGGAATGGGCAATTGATAGAAACAATTGTAAGAAAGTCCAGGGTGGTTTGATGGTACAGTTAAGAATTTATATCGTCAGTGTTCTGCCTGCTTCTGGACCAGCAAGAAGACTTGTGCTCCAGTTCTCAGATTTCCCCAGCAGCATGGCCCCCAAATGCCAGTCTCCACTCCCGCCTGAGAAGAAGAAACCAAGACCACCTCCTGCTCAGGGACTGGACGAGACATCGGCCTCTGCAGGCTTGCCGAAGAAGGGGGAAAAAGAACAGCAAGAAGCAATTGAACACATTGATGAAGTACAAAATGAAATAGACAGACTTAATGAACAAGCCAGTGAGGAGATTTTGAAAGTAGAAGAGAAATATAACAAGCTCCGCCAACCATTTTTTCAGAAGAGGTCAGAATTGATCGCCAAAATCCCAAATTTTTGGGTCACAACGTTTGTCAACCATCCACAAGTGTCTGCACTGCGTGGGGAGGAGGACGAAGAGGCACTGCATTATTTGACCAGAGTTGAAGTGACAGAATTTGAAGATATTAAATCAGGTTACAGAATAGATTTCTATTTTGATGAAAATCCTTACTATGAAAATAAAGTTCTCTCCAAAGAATTTCATCTGAATGAGAGTGGTGATCCATCTTCAAAGTCCACCGAAATCAAATGGAAATCTGGAAAGGATTTGATGAAACGTTCAAGTCAAACGCAGAATAAAGCCAGCGGGAAGAGGCAGCATGAGGAACCAGAGAGCTTCTTTACCTGGTTTACTGACCATTCTGATGCAGGTGCTGATGAATCAGGAGAGGTCATCAAAGATGATATTTGGCCAAACCCATTACAGTACTACTTGGTTCCTGATATGGATGATGAAGAAGGAGAAGGAGAAGAAGATGATGATGATGATGAAGAGGAGGAAGGATTAGAAGATATTGACGAAGAAGGGGATGAGGATGAAGGTGAAGAAGATGAAGACGATGATGAAGGGGAGGAAGGAGAGAAGGATGAAGGCAAAGATGACTAATAGAACACTGATGGATTGCAACCTTCCTTTTTTTAAATTTTCTCCAGTCCCTGGGAGCAAGTTGCAGTCTTTTTTTTTTGTTTTGCTTCCCTCTTGTGCTCAGTCACCCTGTTTTTGAGGTCTCTTTTCAGTACACCATGGTTCTCAACTTATTTTGGGGGAAATATCTTGAGCAGGTTACAATGGGAAAAGAGTCTCTATCCCTTTCTGTTTGAAATTCCTTTTATCCCTTCCTGTCTTAACAAAAACTGTATGGAATCACCACCACCGAGCTCTGTGGGAAAAAAGAAAAACGTGCTCCCGTCGCCTTGCTGGAAGCTGGAGGGTGCTAGGCCCCTGTGTAGTAGTGCCTAGAATTCTAGCTTTTTTCCTCCTTTCTCTGTATATTGGGCTCAGAGAGTACACTGTGTCTCTATGTGAATATGGACAGTTAGCATTTACTAACATGTATCTGTCTACTTTCTCTTGTTTAAAAAAAGAAAAAAAAACTTTAAAAAATGGAGTTATAGAAGGTCAGCAAAGGGTGGGTTTGAGATGTTTGGGTGGGGTAAGTGGCCATTTTGACCACATGGCTTCTCCTTTGGCATGTTTAATTGTGACATTTGACAGACATCCTTGCAGTTTAAGATGACACTTTTAAAATAAATTCTCTCCTAATGATGACTTGAGCCCTGCCACTCAATGGGAGAATCAGCAGAACCTGTAGGATCTTATTTGGAATTGGCATTCTCTATTGTAATTTTGTTCCTGTTTATTTTTAAATTTTCTTTTTGTTTCACTGGAAAGGAAAGATGATGCCCACTTTTAAACGTTAAAAGTGTACAAGTTGCTTTTTTACAATAAAACTGAATGTGTACACAAAGGAAAAAAAAAGAATCTATATCTAAATACGTTGTTTTCCCTTTTGGTTTGACACATATCAGACAAACAAAAAGTCAT